TTCTGGAAGAACCTCTGCCCCAGGGGACCAGAAAGGTAACGAATGTTTGGTGATGCACAAAGGGTTTATATGGCCTCATCAAGTAGTTCCCACTTTAAACTGATAGTCTGGAATATATGGTCAAATACGGTGGAATGACTGCTCTTATTTTAGGTTCTACAAACGCTAAAACGGATAGATTTTTATCTCCATTATACAAGCACTGCTGGGTAACCTTTATAGTCATGTGAGGATCAAAAGAGTGATTACTTATTAATACTATTACCATGCTTCTACTGAATTAACACTTCAGCAACAGTATAATGGCCACGCTCCTTAACAACTGCCTCTGTAAGAGCTCTTGTAAGTCACAAATAATAATTATAAAGAAATTATATTAAAAATAATAACAATTACAGTTGTAACAACTATGTTGTTTATCACAATGATAGTGTTAGCATCTCCCTCTCATATTAAAAAATACCCAACACTGGATTCCTTAGGAAGCAACACCAATGCATTTTTGGACTCTTCAATGTCTTCACCCCATGAAGCCTTTTTACTCACATTGGTCCACCACAACCAGAATTGCTGTTCCTTGCATGGTGGGCTGCCATGCTGCAATGTCCTGGGCTTTTTCTGGCACCATGCATCTATACTTGGTAGTCAAGTTTCCACGTACCCACTCTGATTTCCAATATATTATTCTCCAGAGCCAACAGAGGGGCCACTGGAAAGAGGCCACAAATAAGATGGTGAACCCAATCTGAATACCTGTTGAAGGAATGGACACACAACATGGAGTGGTGGATGGATGGAAGGACAACATCAATTCCTTTACTCCTGTAAAGAGAGAGGCGCAAATGGTGAACTAGACCCCAAAGAGAAAAGACATTCATGGTAATAATAATGTGCAACAGTGAAAGAAAAAAACAAAAGGCAAATATAAAACCTCTGGGAAGAAGACTAATTACAACCTGTTTCCTTCATGTATATACCCTTAGTAGGAATAACATACTTAAAAATCTTTAACCAACCATAGTTATTTGCTGATAATAAACTTGGGAATCTTAAAGCATATTATTCACTCTCAGTGTTGAAAGAATACAATCTTGGAAGATGATTTTTAATTGAGGATTAAAAAAGAATATTGTGGATGTATCTAACAATTTAAATAGAAATAAGAAATGTACCTTTGGGAAAGCTATGTGTAGAGGATGTTGGAGGGAATACACTGAAAATAGGCAAGTGAGCAAGCTCCCTTGAGTCTGGGAAGGTGAGTGCAGCACATTCAGAGGGTCTATGAAGTTATTGCAAGTCACAGAAAGCTATGCAATTAAAGTGTCTTCATAAGCAAAATATCCTTCTTCAAGAATTTTTATCTTGATATTTCTATGGTGTGTGTGGTCACAGGAAGTCAAAGTTATGAAGGTGGCTTAGAAGTTCTTTTCTCTCTGTCTGTAATTTACAGGGCATTGCTACAGACGGGGCAGCAGAGATCTGTGGTAAGCTGTTCCATGGGGTGGGGGAGCAGTTAGAAATGATAAGGCCAGAGATCTAAAAGACTTTTAGACCCTCCCCTCCTAACTGGCAGACCTTTAAAGGAAACTAGCACAGGTATGTAACTAAGACAGTGCCTGAGAAGCAAATTTATAGTCCCTCTAGTGTTACTGCTCAGTCAAGGGGTAGGGACCACTCTGGCCAGGAATTCCAAGACCATGGATGGGGTGAATGGGTAGGAGGAGCTGACATTTGCTTCTGACCTGAGAGGCAGGTGTGTGTTGCAGAGAAGCTGACAGTGCTGGAAAGATGCAGCAGGTCCACAGCCCAAAAGAAGCTGTCATATTCAGGGAGGTCAGAGAGCAAGAGCCAGAGTTAGTGACGCCAAAGAGTCAGCAGCATGGCAGCACTGATGTCAGTGTCTGTGTCTATATCCCACCTAACCCTACATGAACACATCTGCCTACAGGGGGCAGGTAAGTAGCAGAAATTTGTGGAGTGGGTGCAGCCACTGGCAAATTGGCAAGTGGACATCCTAATGAAATGCACAGCTCACAGTCACCATATTGGAAATAGGGCCTCACACTGTCAGATCTCCTTCTTATTCAAGAGAAGCCAGAAATGAAGAGTTTATTAGCAATCTACCCAGCTCAAAACCCAGAAGAAGTATCATTTATAATGACAAAAATGGCACAGACTATTCAGAAATAAATTAATGAAAAATATTAAGAAGATTCTGATAAATGACTTAAAAAAAGAAAAAAAATATGATTGAATGGACAGTAGAATGCACCATCCTCTTCAGTGGGAAGACTCAAATTTGGGGGACAAAGAACATTTTTTCTCCAAAATAAATTTAGTATCTGAATGCAAATTTAGTTCATAATCTCAAATGGATTTAAGAAAAATATCTGAAAGGTGATCATAAAATTATTCCAGAAATATACCCATATATATTAATAAAATAATGAGGAGGGATGTTTGAATTTGTAGTATTAGGGACATTCTGGAAAAGGATAAAATAGGACGAACTCTAGGAGGTATAAATCTATGGTCATGGAAAGAGTATAGAAAGAGTGCACTGAGAGTATGAATGAAATAGATTCCATTTCAAGAATACACGTGGATATTTATGAGATATTAGTAATATTATAAAACTGACACTTCAAATCAGTGTATTCAAGTACTGAAGTAATTAGCTACATCATTGGAAGACCTGGTACATTGTCCTCATTTATGACATTAAAATAAATTCCAGATAATTTTTTAATTAAAAAATAAAACAACAGAAATAACCCAACATGATTTAATCTGTTCAGATTTTCAAGCGAGAAGAACTTTCTAAACAGCTTTTAGAATAAAGACCAAAACAGCAAAGGCCTATCAACTCAGCAAGGCCAGAAACGCTCACTGCAAAACAAAACTAACCCTCGCCCAACACTCTCTCATGGCCCTGTATTGCTCTCTGATACGTTCTACACTTTCTTCTCCCTTTAAAGTCCAGTTTCTTGGAGAAGTACCTGCGCTGATGACTCCTCCAGGGCTCAGAGCCCTGCATCCACCACGGCCCTCACCGCGGGGCTGAGACAGGAGTTGCACTTCTGGTGGCTGCGTGTTTCAAACCAGTCAGCATTTTCAGCTCCTGTTTATTTGATTACCAGGTAGCTTTTGCCGTGGACAAATATTTTCCTCTCAGTGGAATGTTTTTCCCCCTTAATATTTGTTTTACTTAAATAAATTTAAATGCCCAGGCAGAAAAGTGTGTGTGCACATATGCACACACACAGATACATAAAGATCTGTTTTGTAAAGTCTACCGAAATATTATCCTCCTCCTCCATTTCCCCAGTCTTGGCAATTACAGGTGGGCTTTAGCTCTTGCTTTTTTGCCCCACACACCCCCCTTTCTAACTATGCTCCTTTTAGTCAGTGTTCAAATCGCTCTTAAGCCAGGTTATAGCCATCTCTGTGTTGCCTCAACTAGTTTCTCCCAACTGCTCTGCTATTCTTCTTTCTCTTGGTGGATTTCTCTTCTCCCATTTGCCATGCATTTGGCCGATTTCCCGAGGGCCTCGTCTTCAATCCTCCACTTGGCAGGACTGAATCACCCCCACGGCCTCACCCACAGCTCCTCTGAGCTCCTGACTGGTGAATCCAGCTTAACAATGGATATCACCCCTCAGAAGTCCCATAGACAATTCACAATCAAAATGCCACAAACAGAACCATCTCCTTGAAACCAGCTCTTCCCCTTACACTCCCCCTGCAGATGCGCTCTCTGGATGGGTCACTGGAAAGCCACCTCAGCAGCTCTGTGGCCTACTGACCCAGCCCTGCAGTCACCTCTGAAGCAGTCACCAATTCTGCCGCCCATGTCTCTATCCCTCTGCCCAGGGCCTCTCTGCAGGCATGTGCCACTTGTTGTCTGGATTACCTGGGGTGGTCCCCGAAATATCCTTTCCCCCCAAAATATTGGCCTCCCCCCAAAAATAGTATCTTCCATTCTGCTGCCAGTATATCCAGATATTATTCAACAGAGTCATTATGCAATTCTCTTGCTTACATATATTCCAATATATCCTTGTTTCTTTAAAGATACATTCAAGTCTAAGCACACAAGACCCATCGTGACAAAGGCCTTGTGCACCAGATATTCCCACCTTGGATACTTTGTTTTAACCCTACTTGTTCTTCAATCTGGCCAAGCCGCTTCATGCCATGTACACTTATATGTCTCTACCTCTCTGCATGAAGTGTCCACTCCCTCTACCACACATTTAGAGAGCTAACTTCCTTTCATCTTTCAAAATTCAGTTCAAATATTTCCAGCTCTAGGAAGTCCAATTTGTGTTCACCTGCTTAGCAGTCCATCAACTACTCACCAAGTCTCGCCTGGCCTGGGGAATGCAGACACCAAGTCTTACCTGTCTTGGTATCCCCAGCAGTTGATACAGTGTTTGGCATAGCAGGTCCTCAGTGTTTGTTGGATGGATAAATGAATGAATCAGTAAGAGATGAGAGGTCTACAGTCCACCCCAGTTACTCAGCTGCCATTTTGGAAAGTTCATTCTGCAGAGTTAAGGAAATGTCAGTGCAGGTGGTGGGCAGACAGAACAGAGGTGAGGGCGTGGGGGAGACAGGCCTGGTCCTGGAGAGCACAGGAGAGGTGTGGGTGGGATAGCACTGGAGAGAGAGGGAATGGAGGGGGCGGGTGCAAGGAGATGTTGAAGAACAACTGATGTTAACTGCAGTAAATTAAATGGAGAACATAATATATGAAGGGAAGATCAAGTTAACACAGCAAGGGTGGAAAAGGCATTACCAGAGATGAAGAGCTCTCACTTCATCACTCACTACATTTCACTTATGGCACCCGCCCTCTGGGAAGGC